CCATTTCAGCACCATCTCAGCACCATCTCAGCACCTCAGCACCATCTCAGCACCATCTCAGCACCTCAGCACCGTTTCAGCACCTCGGCACCTTTTCAACACCATCTCGGCACATCAGCACCTTTTCAGCACCTTTGAGCATATTTTGGTGCAATGGTGCAGCACTTACCCCCTTGGGTTTCTTGTTCATACTTACTACGACACAATTGTTTAAATATTTTTTTCTAAAATAAATTAATTAAAATTTAGAAGAAACTCTTTTTCTTCGTTAGAAGCCTACTTGATATTCGTTTGGATTATGACGATCATATTCAAGTTTCAATGCTTGAATATGATAATCAGAATGAACAAGTTCTATTTTATGTTCAATTTCCATAGATAATGATGCTAAATTTTCTTCAATATATTTTTCAAACAGTTATTCTACTTTTAATGTGTAACTATTGAAACTATTTGTTGTCTTATTCCATTCTATTTGATTTTCTTTTAATTGATCATCTAAATAATGTAAATGATCATGAACAATCTGTGTACAAAGTTGATCTTCATTTGTTCTATTCAATATTGTTGATTGTAAAATTGTTTTCACTTCTTTTGGCCAAAATTTTAAATTAATTTGATACATATATTGTCCTTTTAGTTCTTGAATCAATTGTCCTGTACTCGATTTAAAATATATTGTCCATAAACGTTGATACATTGGAATAACCTTTATTTTATAAATTAAGATGGCTATTTTTCTTAATTCATTTCTATGAGGATTTGATGCGTTTATTGGTATGATGTTGAGTGCTTGATCAATGATTTGTTGAAAAGATTTGTTCTGTTTCGTTAACCAATGAGGAGTTTTATTGATTTCATTTTGAATATTATTAATGAAAGATACTTTCTTATTGGTTATTTTCTTTGTTAATAATTGACCCATTTGTTGTGATAAGATTTGTTCTTCTCTAGGCTATCAAGAAGATATTTATTAGTCAAAATTAATTAAAATTAATCTACTTTTAAAATCGAAGTTGTTTGACTATTGTGATGAGATCTTAAGTGAGTATATATCTCTTCTGATATATCAAAATCATCGTACTAGAATATAGATAAAACCAAGTATGTCAAAATAAACAATAAACTCTCAACTGTATTCTTTACTTGTTCATATTCAGCAATATTATTTTGAGCAATGATTTTATTAGAATCATTATCATTATTTGTTGCCATTGATGATGCTCAATAGAATAAAAGTTTTTGAATAAATGTACGTTTTGAATTTTTGTATATTTAAATATATCTAGAATAAACATAAGAGATTAAACTAAAATGC